AGAGGTTTTCCGCCATTTTCAAAAGGAAACAAGTACACAAACAAGGAAACTGTGGGTCCTTGTTGGCAATGTTTTTTTCCTTCTGTTTGAATCTTCTTTTGTACATATTTTTCTTTCACGGTGGGTCCATCCTCCAGTTGTATATTTTATTATTTCGATAAAAGAGTGGCTTGCTATCTTACAAATTAATAATCAACAATAAAGTACCAACGCTTCATTACTTGGATAGATCATCATCTTTAAGTTTCTCTCTCTCTCTCTCTCCGCAACTTGCGATGCAAACTTTTACTCTATATATAGTTCTTTTTCCCCTTCCTCATTTGTGTAAGTATTTACCTACTTTGCAATAAGATTATAGTATGACCTTACCTTACTATTTTGGGTAATAAAAAAATACTAACAGACAGAGTACAAATCCAAACTCTGCATAACAAGATGCACACATGGCTAGACATCCAAAAAACAAGAAAAAATATGTGTGCCATGATTTCACAAAAGGGTAAGGCCACCTAGGATGCTAGAGTAAACCATGTGTAGACTAAACAGCCATCCATGCAGGTTAAATACATCCATGGTTCTATGCTCCAACATGTACATATCATCGTAAACAACTCTCTGTAAGCAGGCCGATGTAAAGTAAACTAGGTACAGAGTCTATGACTGCGAAAATGTATAACATGCAAAGAAGAAGTCTTTTATTCATAAAAAAGAGAATTTCATTTCTCGCACTGTCTGCAATAATTAGTATGCACACAACCTATAAAAACATTATAAATTTTGTGCGAGAATATAGCTTCACCTGATCTCAATCTACACATATCCTTTGAAACGTGGATACAATTTTTTTTATCTGGGTTGGTTGAGTAGTTTTCAAAAGTGCATGCACAACCATTGTATATTTGAGTACTACAATACCATTGTACCCTTTATCTAGACAATTCAGTTTGCGCCATGATTTGTGTTGTCTTTATATAGAAATATATCTTTTTTGTTCTTCCAAACAAGAGAACATTTGACCTTAAAGCTTTGCAGATCAAGTATACACAAGTGCCACTATTTGTATAAAATGTTTCCAAATGTTTTGATAATTTTTTTTGTCAAATTTCAAATTTCGGATGAGTTGTATCATCTTTAAAATTTTATGTTGCGCCAAAAAATCTGAAACATTTATACACATCGTAGTACTTGTGTGATATTGATCTGCAAAGTTTCGAGTACAAATATTCTTTTTGTTGGGAGAAACAAATAAGATAAGTTTGCTTGCATGAACTTTGATGCAAAAATGGACGGTCGAGACAGAAGGTACAGTGGTATGGTATAGTACAATCACTTCTTTCCCATTTGAGTATTATTCATTCGTCCTCAGTTCGTCCAAACATTCCCTGTCTTTCCCATGGAGTTGAAGAAGGAGAGAGCATCTTGCATTTTCAAGTGACTGAGCATGCTTAGCATGCTTGCACTTTAAAGTTAAAAATGTGTTGTTCTACATCTATTATCTGGACCCAATTTATGTAGGTTGAACCGATTTATGTAGGAAATATACCATACACAAAAGGCATAACTCGATCTATTACTACTTCTTTTATTGCGACAATTACCATGGGAACTAGGAAAACCCCTATGTTCCAAATAGAGAGTTGAATCTAGTCAATATGTAGAAGACACGAATCGACAAAGTCGACAAATGACTATCTAGAGACCATGAAAAAACTTCAAATGAAATAAATGCCAATTTGAAGTAGGTTTAGTTTAATAAAGGAGTTTATCAAACCATAGGTTCCCTTTTTATTGAACCTTTGGTTATAGGCATGTTGAGTAAGATATTTGCTAGCATTGCAAATTCGCAATCAATATTCATCAAGAACTCGGCATAAATTAGATGGTTAGCTTTCTTGTGGTGAAACCAACGTCCTAGACATGGCACGGATGTTTGCATTATTAACTGTATTTATTTCAAGCTTTGTGGCAATATTTTTTTACTCCTGTGACATGCCCGTCGACTATAAGGTGATTGTGGCTACTTCGTCAATCTCAAGAGATGTCGGCTCGGTCTCTCAGAGATGCTCATAAATACAGGTTTCATGTGTGCATTCATAGGGTTGTGTATGCATGCCTATTGTAAACGTATGTGTCGGTACTGTGTTTCTAAAGAATCATTCATCAAGAACCATTGAAATAATTTACCATCCAATTTGAGCACTCACCCAAACATGCTTAAGTTAAACAAATATCTCTGCTAACTGGCTAGCATACGATCTCCCAATTCAGCTGAGAATTGTTTAACACCTCTAGCAGAGCCGGCACATCTAATTCCATCTCGAACTCTGAAATTTCTGCCGTTACTCGCTCTGTTTCGCCCCTCCGAAGATCTATATCTACAAGATTGGGCAGATGATCGATAATGTCGTTACTGATGTTGTCGCCCGCCTTGCATGTGTGATCACCGTAGTACACGACAGTGTACTTTGCACCCTGATCCTCACCAGCGTCTGCGGAATAAATAGAACCGCCGCCATCTTGATCTTGTTGCTGAACTGTCTTAGTTGCTGAGCAGTTCCGTTCTGTGTAGGTGCATCTGTAGTAGCTCCTGTTTAATCACAGGTTTAAAATTAGCGCGCGCGCATGATTGATTGCCTATAACCAGCCATACTCATCTGATAACAAAAGATGTATGTGCGTTTTGTTTAGTGTAATTAGTTACCTAGCATGTTGCCTTCCGTTGATGTTCTTCTGCCCATATTTTCTCCACTGGTGACCATCATAATGTGGAACATTGGTCACGAGTGATCTTGATCGCTTGCTATCGTTCCTCCTACAAGATGTGAGGTATTTGTTTAGAAGTGATCTTGATCATGCGAATTGAAGATATATAAGATGTCCCAATTGAATTTAGATTTTAGAATCAATTAGCCCGATCGACCTATTATTGTGTGCATGCATGAGCCATGAGATTAACTGGAAACGATGAATATCCATGCATATCACATATACACGCACCTTCTCTTTCGACCAACGACGCAACTAGGCCTCGCCTGTTCGTCCATCTTGTCGTCGATAGCAGCAGCAGTACTAGTGCTGTTCTTCCTCACTAAGGACTTGTCGTCGATGAGCTCGGTGGTCGCTCCACTTCCAGCAGTGAAGAGCTTAGATACGACGCTGGTGCTGCAGCCGATCACGTCGTCGAAGAGCTGGACGGCGAGCTCGGCCGACCCGCTATCCACGTTGTGGAGTTGTGGAAGGATGAGCGCCCGGAGTTGCGTCACGAGCTCCTGCTCCCGCCGGAGCAGCGCCTCGATCTCCGCGAGGCCATGGTCGCAGTTCTTGCTGAGATCCATATGTTTTGCCGTTGTGTTTTCTAGGCTAGTGAGGGTGTCAGGCTGCTTGCAAGCTCTTGATAGCTATATATGGGAGAGAAACACCAGCGGAATATATCGGTCGATTTGTACCTTCTGTGTACTTGATGTGCATCTTTGAGTTTAAACTGTAAAGAACAAGTGAGGAGTCCGTTTCACAGTGTGAGTGCATGGCAAGTTGGCAACGCGTTAGTGAGACTGGGTGAGCACGAGGGGGTGGAGTGAGACTTTTGACCAGGGCGAGGTTTTGTGGCTAGCTAGGAATATTTTTTCTTCTGATGGAAAGAATAAAGAAAGAGCTGGAACGTTGGACCAGAGACCCATCATGTTGACATAGAGCTAGAAGGGGTGTCTATGCTTAGCGCACAAAATTGCCAAGATACATGCATCTTTGTTGTCCTACCTGGCTAACTCTATGCATGGATTGTTAATTTGTGACTGAAGCTAACACCGCATGGGGAAATTGAACCTGGCACGTTGTAGTAGATACTGAGCTTTAGTCAACATGCTAGTCAATTAAGGAGAATGCATGGACGGAATGGCAGAATTTGGCAGCTTCGACGTACTCGTCTGCGGCACCGAGATGAGTATTTTTCATGGACTACTAGGTGTCTATTGTTGAGTATAATGTTTCCCCGAGCACTTCTTTTGGGGTTTTCTCTCTTCCGCTGGTTATCTTGATCGTCGGTTTTTTTTTGGTTTTCCGATCTAATCTTGATCGGTTTGCGTCGCCCACCGCCGCAGTCGACCCCGTGCGCCTCTACTTCAACCCCGGCACGATCGGTCGGCTTCTTCACCGACCAGGTGGCCTCGCGCGTCGTCCTCGCGTCTACGCGTCGGTCGCCCCGACCCGGCGGCCTCGCGCGTCGTCCGCGCGTCTGCCTGCCTGTTGCCCCGACCCGGCGGCTTCGCGTCATGCGGCGGCCCTTCGCCGCCGCCGTTCGCGCGCTGGCCCGCCCGTCGATCTACGCCGGTCGTCACCGTCCTGCTCCGACCGGAACTCCTGCATCACCCGACACGGCGGCCTCGCGCCATGCGGCGGCCAATCATAGCCGCCCTGCCACACGCCGTCGCCGACTTCATCTCGGACTCCGCCGCCACCCCATCTCCACTGAACGGCGTCGCCGACCTCGCGCGTGATCGGATTGATCACCCGCCCGCCGCCGCGATCCGCCTCATCTCCGCCATGCAACCGGCCTGGCCCGTCGGTTGCGCGCACCTCCGCAGGTCCCGTGAAGATCGTCCCCGAGTTCAGCGCGTCCCTCCACCGATCGAGCAACGGGCTGCCACTGTGTCGCCTCGTCGGGCCGCAGCGCCGCCGCCCCGTGGTTCTTCTCCCGGCTACACCGACCCGCGTCACCGCTGCGTCGCCCCTTTGGGCCGTAGTGTCGCGGCCCACGGTCCACGGCCGCCCTGAGGCCGTCCGCTCCTGGTTGTCCCCGTGGCCGCACCGACCCTCGCGCCGCCGTTGCGTCGCCCCGTCAGGCCGTAGCGAGCGTGGCACGCGGTCCACGCAGCCGTCCCGAGGCCGTCCCCGCGGTTGCACCGACACGCACTCCTCCGCCGCGCCGCCACTTCGGGTTGTCGCGCCGCGGCCTGCGGTCTCCGCCGCCGCCCCGAGGTCTTACCGCCGTCGCCCCGACCTGCCTGCCGCTGCTGCGTCGCCCCTTCGGGCCGTAGCGCCGCGGCCCGCGGTCCACTCCGCCGTCACTGCGCGTCGACCTCCCGTGGTATGCGCCGCGCCGTCTCCCTTGGCGCGGAAATGCCACCGTCCGCGCCGGTCTTCGTCACATCGTCAGGGTTTTCCGCCTACTTCGAGCACCGCCGCCGCGCTCCTAATCAAGCCGCTGCCGCCAGTTTTCTTTGGCCGCCGCCGCCGCTACCCCGTAGCCGCCGCAGCCGCCCGTCCACCTCCTTCGTCTTCATCCAGCACCAGCCCGTCGTCAGCGTCGCCGTCATCTACCCCGACCACTTCGTCTACTCCGACCACCGTTGGTGACATTGGCCCCACGCCGATGGACGCCGCAACCATCATCGAGTTCTTCTCTGCTGGCCCTCCGACTTCTTCGACATGGCGTACAGCTCGTGCAGGTCCTTGTCTCCGCATGCCCGGTGCTGGCAACACTGCCGCGTGCCTTCGTCCATGATGTGTTCCCGGGCCTGGCAAGCCTGGTGCGGCGCTTCGTCAACTTCGTCTTCATCCGTCTACGCATGCCCAGTGCTGGCAACATCGGTGTGTGCCTTCGTCTACGATGTGTCCCCGGGCTTGGCAAACCCAGTGTGACACGTTGTCAACAACATCTCCTTTCCGGCGCACCACTACTTCGACACCACTGTGCCCATGCTAACTCGGCGCCCCCTTGCGCCCGCGGCTCCACGGCGACTTCCTCGACACTGGCCACCCCGACTCAACATCGACCACGTCATTCTTCGCATGGCTACCTCGACCACGAATCCACCACCCAGGCTCTTGGCTACATCGACAAACGGCACAAAGGGCTACCGCCTGCTTGAGCAACCTCGTCGGTTTTCACTCCAGCCACGAC